ACTTAAACCAGATGTAACACACTTCTTTCTTAGTGAGAGGAATGGTAAAGACCATCCTGAATAAGGTACCCTGAACCGTAGATTTATGATAGAAGACATTTGTTTTGTGTTGATTAAGCATTTGTTTTTTGTGTCCTTTTTTTAATCTTTTTACATTATACAACAACAACAACAAACTTTATCACACTTGGGTTAGATTGGTTAAATGATCACATGGCGTTCTTGACTTGGTTAGAACCAAATCCTCAAGATAGTCACCACCATGATACCCCTCTTTACATCTTTCTCCGATTCCTGATCTTTTCTCCATTTCATAGGATTAAAAGCCAAAGGCACTACACTCTCTTCAGTATTACTTTCACGGCCTTCTTTGTAACTTTCCCAAAAAAAATCCCCTTAACCCACTTTTTGTTATTTTTGTACTCAATGGATGTCAGACTTATACTACTTGCAGTGTGATAGTTCAGGGGGAATTATATGTTAGAAGGAATAAGTGTAACAGACAGTTATAACTGTCCTGTAGGTTGGGTTGTTTGTAAGCAACAATTAGTATAGTCTGTCAAGAAGGGTTGTTTTCCTTCATAGTTTTTTTGGAGAAAATTGGAAGTGAAGAAGTGAGAGCAGGTCCTCTCTAAGACCTGGGATTTGTGTGTACCAGTCACGAGATACAGACCAAGCTGTCTAGTTTTCATAGGAAGATCATCCAAGAACCTGTCTTGGAGTTCTGTACAGTGTTAATAAAATCTGGGTACCTATCACAGTGCATTTTGCATCACATTCTTTTCTGTAGGCACATATATGCTATTCTCACCTTTATCTCCTTTTGTCCCTCTAAAGTTCAACATTCACTATCCTAGAGTATTGTTAGACATATAATAGCGCAGAAAATTTCCTTTAAACTTGCTATGTGATCACAAATAGCCCCAATTGGCTTTCTCCATCTTGCCATTGAACCAATATCTTTTGTGTAAAATTCTTGTTAATTTTCTTATCATTTTCTAATGTTGGTGACAGATATTTGAACTTTGAAACATGTAGGGTGATGTATTTTTCCCTTTATTACCTCTAAGTCATTTTTTTTTGCTAAATTTGCTATGTTGTCTACTTTTAGTTAAGCAAAACCCCTTCGATTCCAAATTTCTTTTTCCTCTCCCAAGCTCAAATTCGGATTTGACCACTCGCCTTGATGAAAATATAGTTTTAAATGTGTCTCTTTTTGAGAGTTCTTTAGCTTCATAGCCATTCATTGGCTAACTACTTGGAAATGGGGAGTTTTACTTTCATATAATTCATTTGGTAAAAATTGATAGCATTGGAGTCTTGTTAATTTATAATAAGACTAGTTTTGTTGAGTTTTCTCTTCGAAGTTTTAGCTTCCATGTTTTTCCCCTTTAATAGGGAATGCTTTCTTTAATAAACTCATTTGGAAAGTCCCAAACTTCCATCGATATCACGTCCTTCTGTTTTTGAAACAAACTTTGGTGATTTTTATAGACCTAAATTTGTTTAATATAACTCCAATCCGCTAATAGTTGTGTGATGTATTCTAATAAGAAGCATACAGTTTTCTTTTGCATGCTTATCTGGAGTAGGAATTTTCACCTTTTCTGGGTCTTCCTTGGATTCTGGCAAAGTTGTTTTTAGAGTAAAAAGGTTTGAATGAGTACTAAGTTGTTGGATTGTAGAATCTTGTATATATGCACAGGGTCGTCAAGGTCTTTGTGGTGTAATGGAATGGGAATGGATTTTCCCTTTAAGAAACTAACTGATTTTCGTGCTTTTTGCAAGGAAGTAATCCATTTTCTTATCTGTAAGGAATCAATCATGCATTTCTACTAATTGTTTTTGTGATAAGGTTATTATTGTTTGAAGAAATTTCAAATATTGAGATTTTCAGAGTGCTGCCCATAGAAAAAGTCAATTACTGGGCTGTGTTTTAAAGAAATTTCTTGAATCTTAGTCTTAAAGGCAGGTTTGTAATTTGTAAGAACGTGCTATTTCGAGGATGTGACAAGGCATTTCCTTTGGAACTCATTGTCTTTAGCATTTGCCAGCACGTTATCCCAAAAAAGAAATGGCCAAGATCAAAATGATCCGATACCAGCATAGTGATCTTAGGTTTTTCATTTTTAGCCCTTGAAAACTGAACTCATCATAATGGTATATGCTACTTTTAACTAAGTGAAAAGGCATTATTAGCCACACAGTATATAAAGCAACAGAGCTTCAGTAAAGCCTAATAATAAGTGAATCTCTGTGTGACCTACTGGATTTTTCAAATTCATAAATCTAAACAGCACCACGGGATCTCATTCTTTCCTAAGTTTCCCCATAAAAAATTGTATACTTTCAACTAAACAAACACAGCTCATCAAAGATAGCTGGAAAACAAAGGAGCATCATGCATCTAATGTCGTTTCAAAAAAAAAGCATGCAAGACGACCAACCTAGTTAAAGTCAGCACCCACTCCCTTTCGTTTGAGTTCTAAAGCAATACGTTCATTCTCAAGCTTCATTCTTTCATTCTCCAGCTTCAACTTTTCCAACTCCCGGTCCTTTTTCTTACTAAACTTCTGCCACTTGAATCTTTGTTTCTCCAGCTCCAACATCTCAACCTGAATTTGTAGCTTCTGCTCTTCTAACTGAAGTGAACGAGAATCAACCCATTGCTTCTGTAACCATGGTGAACTCATTTTCTCGGGTGCAGCTTGATTGACATCAGATTGAACCATATGAGGGTATGAACTTTTGTTATACTCTTGGCTGTTTAAAGCACTGCCAAAAGTAGCAGCATCTTCATGTCCTTGCCCTGGTTTCGATCTCTTCATAGGTCGCCCCGCTTCCCCATAGACTCCTCTACTATCTGCATGAGTAGCATAATTCTCCTCAAAATCATCATGATCATCAGTTTCCACTTCTGGATCATCTTCATCATGATCATCATGCTGAGACCTTCTGACATCATCACTGTCATGATCATCTCTATTTCTATGAGCCAACTGAAGTGATCGTTGCAATTCCAGATCATGGGGTAAATGCAACCTGTTACAATTATGGTAAGAACACATCTCTTCATAGAAAAAGTGTTTCGAGCTCAATATTTTTCGAACTTCATCTTTTTCTTTCTCAGAAAGATAATCTATCACATCCAATAGAGAAGGATTCTCAACAACCTGACAAGAAGTTCCCCGGCCTAGCATATCATTAAGTTTTTTGTACCTTTTATTGAGATCATTGAATTTATCCTCACACTGCTGAGGTGAAACACGATAACCTCTTTCAGCCATGACCTTGGAAACCGATTTCCACTTCCCTTTTTTCTGTAGGACTGTAATTTTTCTCCTTGCGCCACCACAGTCGGATGGTGCATCTTCACCTATGTAAGAAACAGCCGTTATCAGAAGCCTCACCATCTTATCAGTCCACTTCACCCTCTGCCAAGGCGACCCCTTTTTCCCTCTACCTCCTTCTTGATGACCATCAACACCTTCCTCAGCAAAGCTTTCATCACTTGGAGAGTTCTTGTTTCTATCTCCCTGACTAAACTCAGTCATTGCCATTGTTTGATCGCAGTTCTGCAAGGTTCCCATTGTGAGAGGAAAACCATCATGAACTGAGGAATGCACTGAAGGCCCTTGACAAGGATGAGTTTGATGTTGATTCATGGAATGAGGATGATGCCCTTGCCGATGAACCCTCATTGATCCAGGCAGATCAAAACCACCAAAGGAACTCCCACCCTGAACCATACCTCCCTGAGACAAATTCCCTTCCATTGCTTCTCAGTTCTCACAAACAATAAAAACAGATCAAAACCAACGAACCCACTTCACATCCAATTCTACTTCACAAGCATTTTCAAGTGCTCTTTACAAAACGCAAACATCAAAATCACACAAACCCATGTTTACCCAATCTTCCAACACATCTTCTGAAACCCCAGCTATCACTCTAGATTTTCAAGTAAAAACAGCACCCAAATCAAACTAGAACAGTACAACCCTTCTCCAAAACATCATTACATGCACCAAAATTCACAACCCACACGGAAGTGCTAAAATCACCCACCAGCAGAATAAAGAACAAATTTTCAACAAAGATTCACAACGAAAGCCAAAACCCTTTAAGAGGCTCACCGGTGAGGAATGTAAGCAACTTCTTGCTGAAAATCTGCACAAAATCTGACACTCCAAAAGCAAAAGATTGGACCTTTTTCTCGAAATCAAGCCAAGAATCCCGAAACAAAAACCAGCTACAGAAAACAAGACATGCTCATTAACTGGGGAGTGAAGAAGTGCGGCAACAAAGAAGGAAAAAGGGGGTAAAATGGTGAAGAAAAGACAAGGGTTGGTGTTTTGTGATATGTGCAAGTTACTATGCGACCACGAAATATATTTATATATAAAGACAAGGGTTACTAAGGACGACAGCGATGAACCTTAATGGTTCAATGTATGAAAAGATGACATGGACCAAGGCTAGTATATATTTTTGTTTCTTTCACAATAAAGAAAATAAAATAACATTCAATAATCAAATTAAAGTTAATAATAAAAATTAAAATTTCCTTGAAAGGTATTATATTCAAATCTTTAGTGCTCCTACGACTTTTTGGTTTCTGAAATATCTATTTGGTTTAACTTTTATCTCTAATGAGCATTAAGAGAATTCTTTTATTTGTTAAACTTTATTCAAAAGTATAAATATGATATGAGATTCGCAATATTTTTAATATATTTTAACTTTAAAAAAGTGGTCAAAAATGTGTTGAGGAGTATATTTTAGTAATATTCCCAAGAGTTAGTGATTAGTGAATAACTTTTATTTTTATCTTATTTTTATTTGCATTTTTTATTTTCTTTACTCCATGCATTTTTTTTTTCTATTTTTTCTCTTCTCTTTATGAAATACTAGCTAAAATGTGTTTTTTCATATCTGCATATCTCATGAATCGTGAATCTTGGAACGATAATCCTCAGAAAAGACTGAAAATATGTTTTGATGGTTGTAAATATTATTAATAGTATTTAATAAGTTTTTGGATTTAAATAGTGACTGGGTATATTTATCATAAATTATAATCATTCACTGTAATAAATTATTTAATGAAACTAATATGGTATATTTGTTTCATGATACATTTTAGGAGCAATTTGGAAGATGATGACAAACAAAAAAAATAAAAACACATTTTTACAAAGCATTATTTGCTGGCTACGTTATTTTCTAAAAGAATAATCCAAAAATGAAAATTAATCATTATTAACATCACATTATAGGAAACGACAACTTGTCCTTGTACTAAACACTTGTTAAAGAAAAAAAAATCGAAATTTTATATTGCCTTTTATCTATGTATTATTTTAGCAGCTTATTTTAAAGAAGCATATATAGAAGACGAGGTTTTGGTTCACATGTTTCTATGTTGTATTTAGTTCCTATTATAACTTTTTTCTTAAATTTAAAATTTATCCTTAATCACTTCCTTCAAACCATTCATATCAAATCTTCATTTTGTAAATCATTAAATTTTATTTATTATTTTTGTAAAATGCAAAGAGACTAGAAATGTGTCTTTTATTCTTGTCAACATAAACATTTGTAACTTATGAAACAATTAAAATCATATTAAATATTACTTATGAATATAAAAGCTAATGTTTTTCTTATTCGTTATAAAATGAAAGTTAAGTTCTTATTTGAAAAGGTAAAATAAATGTTAGTTATTATTTTTAGACTATAATAATTTTACTTTCTTTTTAATTTTGTATGATTCCATGCACGTTACAATTATAAAGATGAAAACATTAAAAAAAACCATAAAAATTAATCAACACAAATAAAATATATGATATTAAATATAAGATGAGAGCATTAATTAGTTTTTTTAATTTTCACTAACTAGTAAAGCCTTAAAAGAAACAAAAACAATAATACTTCTACATGATTGTTGTGCTGTTTTTCACTATATAGCTTTTAATGCTTTAATTTTATTTTTAACTATTTTAAATGTTTTACATCAATACAGACTAATTATTTCTCATATCACTGACTGCAAGTCACATGTATAAATTACTAAACATAAATACTTTATCATGCAAAGCCAGCTCAAAATTACTTAAGTCCTGACAAAACAATGACATTAGAATCTTTAATAATACATATTAAAAAGTATTTAACGTATATTTTCCTGACGTTTTGGTCAACCAAAATAAATCATATCAGTCCATATTGAGATTTCTTTTTCACTTTTGTTTAGCAGAATTAACTTTTAAATGTATACAATTAAATTTCAATTTTCAATTTTGTATTCACTAAATAGTTAAATTATTAATTTTACACAAGTAATCATAATTACAATTTTATTTTGTTAAAGTTAAAAAGCCAATTAAATATAATTACTGTATAATTAAAATAACCAATATACTTATTGGAAGAACTTGCATTTGACGTGATAATATAAGTGTGATATTTATTTTTAAGTGATAATAAAATTTAAATTTAAGTATTAACTAAGTTAATCATGTATTTAAGTTAAAGGTGAGAAGAGTTTGGAGAGTGGTGCCCATGATATAATATATATATATATATATATATATATAAAACATCATGAAGGAATGTTCAAGTACGATTAACAAAAAGACATCCAATAAAAAGCCTATATATAACATATATAAAAAATATATAGTTGAAAACAACATCATCCATATTTGTTGTAAGATGTGAACTTGTCAATCTTTTCTGATTAGATTTCACTAAATCTACCAGAGTAGTTGTATATTTGTTGTGTCAACCCATAAGTAATAGTTATTTAAACAATTTGTGCATTCATCTAACAAATCATTAAATACTAAGATAAATATAATAACTTAAATTAGGAAATGTCATAAATCTATATATTCATTCAACCTGGCACCCATAATGTAAAATTATCAGTATGATAAATAAGATAATTATAATATGGAAGTATTAGTAATTAAAGAATATACTATATGTGATAAATAAGATAATTATAATATGAAAGTATTGGTAATTAAAGTGTTAATACATGATGTGTTTCAACTTATTCATATAATTAGGGTTGATAAATTGACTTAAATAAGAGGGTTGGTTATTGTTTCCACACATACATACGATGAAGTAAAAAAAACCTTATAAAACTAAAAAGTTAATATAAGAAAAAAATCATGACCAAAATGTTCGTAAAGTCTTGTAGTTTATGAGCAATCTATGAGTCATTATTTAAAAGAAAAAAAAAATTGTTTTAACCTTTTCACTGTAACATCCCAAAAATATAGTATAAAACTATATACAGGTGTCATCATTTAACAATATAATAGATCAATTGTTGTATTAATAAAGTTAAACTTACAATTATTACAAAATAACCATAAAATTTAAAACTTTACATAAGTTTCCTATACTACTACCAAACTAGATTCATATAACCAAACAGTTATATTTACAAAACAAAATAATGATCGAACGGTTTCACCAAAACTATCTACAGTAATATGACCGAACGGTCATGACCTATTCAGCAGGAGTCTCGCCGTCCAACTCTTGTTCCAAAGTAAACTTTTCCCCTTCTGCTCACATCCAAAAAGGATGATCATCGCAATAGAAAAACCGAACGGTAACATGGATAAAAACAGGAAATAAGGGTAAGCTACTGCAATTTAATTGGACATGCATACATACAATTCATTCAAGTACAAACAATACAAAGTCGAACACTATAGCATACCAAAATTAATGCAAATAGACATATACGAATTTAACCCTATAATACATGCATAAACCGAACACCTGACTTGACCATCCGGATTGTATGAATACGTAGCTTAAGGCCGTTCGTGCACTCAGGTGGTGTAGTAACTGGAAAACCATCAGCTTTCACCCGAGGTTAGTCCGTTATAACTCACCCAAGAACCTATGGGCTAGGACCTCCTGCCATTCTCACACAATGAATTACCCATCTCTACTTGAGAACTGGTAATCATCAGAATATCAGGATGAACTCCATGAATTTCACTATCTGTATTCATACTTTACCACATCAATATATATTACACTGAGACATTCCTCCTTGGAATTCTCTTCCATATTACATGAAGCATCAACATTACTTGAATACCATTAAGATTTCCCATACACATTAGATCCATAAAATTATCTCAAATAATCAGAGTCACAATTTGAAAATATCATGTTAATATTAATATTTCATTCAGAGTAGAAGACCGAACGGTAATTACAAAAATCCCTGAATACTACCGAACGGAAACTCACTAACTTACAAAACCAAACACTAGAACTAAGACCGAACATTTATAATTAACTGAACTATTGATGTAAAATCGAACGGTATTTCACTATTCACAAATCAAGACCCAACGATATTCCACTATCCCCAAAACAAGACCGAACGGTATTTCACTAATCAAAGATGAGAAATAGCTAACTACTAGAAACAACCAAATTACTACTACGAAACCGAACGGTATAACCTAAGACAAATACTTACAACTTAATCCGAACACTTATAATTACTCCTACAAACTATTCATCAAACCTAATACTTTTAAAAAAACCGAACGTTAAGACATTATGGTTGAATTATACAGAAACTTGTATCCGATTATAAACGAATGTATTTTAAGCCTATTACTAGTACGAGGTCTACTAATAATAATATATGAACTATCACTAACCAAAATACCTAATCCAATAAGACTGATCATAAAGACATAACCATCAACACTTGATAAATCAATCACTCCCTAAAAACCGAGCGATCATGCATTGGTAAGGCTAAAATGCTAACTTTATTGATAACTTATTAACTGACCATGACCGAACGGTCGACACTGAACACACAGCTTTTCTGCATAATTCTGCAGAATCCCTACAGACTTATACAGAACCACCCAAAACCCATGAATGTAATACTTCATACAAACATATACAAATCATCAAATCATTCAATCTCAGACATACACAGAATCATCACACCAACAATCAAATTGAATAACTTCCCTTACCTCGTAACAGAAGAAACGCTCACAGCACAAAATTTCTTTGTCCAACACCAAACTCTCAAAAGCTAAGATTCACTATTTTGAAGAAAACGAACCACCCACAAGACCAGAAACGAGATAAGACATGATGAAGAAGAAGATAAACACATGCAAACAGAAACTTGGTTTGCATGTGCCCAAGACTAAACTTTCTTAGAAGTAGAAAGGCCTACCAGCTCAAACCACCACTTGACCGATTGAAAAGAGAACCTTTGCCACCAGCCAACTTCAAACACAATCTGATGAATGATCGGATCAAGGAAAACATGAGAATCAATGGAGGAAAATATGATAGTTTAGAGAGAAGTTAAAGAGAAGGAGGAGAAAGTGAGAGCTCAGAAAGTT